CCAATAAGCTCCTCGATTGAACGAGTTGCCTTTTGGTGCTGAAGACTTTGAATAGAACTAAAAAAAACCAAAATCTAAGACATTAAAGTCTGGACTGTTGGTAGGCTGATTTGATTCAACAATCCCACGCACACCTTTGGCTTGAAGCAGCTCTGTCGTAACGCAACGGTGCGGGCTGGCGTTGTCTTGTTGAAGGAACACGTCACCGCGCCGCAAACCGCCAGGAAACTTGGCCATAATGGCAGGGACGACCTTGTTCAGAATGGCGTCAAAATACACAGTACTGTCCACGGCTTGAGGAACAGTGACAAGGGTGCCCTTGGGGCGGTTATTGCTTCCACGCAACGCCGGCGACACTTGAACGAAGGTCTACACAGCAACCTTGCCGTCCCAAAACGTCTTGGAGTGATGATCGTAGCGGGGACGGGCCACGGCGGCAAGAAACACAACCTTGGTTATGTAGTGCTTAGACTTGACGGAGCGCGCAGCCACCTCTTCGTCATCGTACACATAGTACCGACGTTTGACCTTCGTCAAATAGAACCACTTTTCATCAACATGCACGAAATCGAGCATGTTGGAGAAACAGTGGCTACCATTTGACAAAGGTCGAACGAAGGACATTGCGTACCTCAGACGAGCTTCGATGTTCGCTGGCGTGAGGTATGGTTTGACGTAGTTCGACTTGGCTATGAATCTTGGCGTCTTCTTCTTGTGGCGAATAATGGATGTCATTGGGATCCCACACGCAGCGAAAGCGAACGAAGAGTCTGCCGCGACATCAACGGGACTGCTCGAATCGCGCTTTCGATTTCTTCAGTGGTTCGTTTTTGCCGTCGTCCAGTATTTCCTTAACACAATAAACTTTATAAATGGATAATTGGTAAAATTGATATATTTATAGCTTTTTGGAGGTTTACCACTCAATTTCGTGGCATCAGCGGAGAGGCAACCATGCCGCAGGGAGAGCTGCGCCCGAACCCAGTGGCATGATACGGTGCGTTCGTGGCAGCCAAACTGCTTCGCTGCTTTGACAATGACTCCTCGAGGGAGTACCTCTCCTATGGAAGCTCCTAGAAGCATTTCGTAGACAGCCTGGCGCTCCGTAGGGGACAAGTGCTTGTGACCGTTTGGGGGCTGGGCAACATCGACGGAGGCAGCTGGACTAGCGCCGAGGGTCTGGTTGGACATGAATGGGTGGG